AGTGACCCGCCGATGCCGAAGACTATGTGCGACACATCCGTCGGCTCCGGCGTTTGATTCCGCGGCGGAGAGGTGCCGGACACGGCGGTGGATATTACCACCGTCGAGAAGGGTCCGGAGCGGCGGTGGCCGGAGATGCGATAGCAGTCGGAGCAGCCGCCGGAGAAGAGGACGTAGAAGCAGATAACGACGGAGGCGAAGCTGCATACAGCGAGGACGGGCTTGACGGCAAGAGAGAGAACGTAGCCGGGCTTCATCACCGTCGCCGGGGAACTCGCCGGAGATTTATGCCGGAATTTGAACGGATCGAAGATAGCCATTTTTTCTTATTTGTATTGTGTATGTATATACTTGTTGGTTGATGTTTAATTGGACGAGGAGATTATATGTATCTTCACTAGGGGAAAATAAATATTTAATTTCTCCTTTTTTATGGTTAATATACGAAAATGTAAAGGTTTCGGATTCTTTTTTATTTCATACTTTTTATATTTTCAAGATCTTATATTGATTATGGCACAATTAATATTCTTTTTGAATTTGGAAATTCTGGATCGATATTTTAACATAAAAGGTATGGGTATATTTGTTGAGTCCACTACTCGTTCAATGTACTAACGACATTAATGAAATTAATTTACAAAAATTCACAATTTCATTTTCATGTGGGTGATATATTCTATGAATTTTATAAAATGTACGCTGTATCACGAAATTATTTTATTCTATGAATGGGTCCATTGGAAAAATAGGAGACTAATACTTGTCTTGGGCGATGGTTTCTTCCAAACAACAATTTTTTTTTGGCTCATTTGGTTAGTTCGAATCTATTATTCCACGTCATTATTATAGGAAGATTTATATTGTTTAAAAGAACCAGACATTTTGGGTTGGTTATGTGAAATTTCTCCATTTGAAATCGTGCGTGCGACTACGCGACTAACATTCTCAGACATGTTCTTATGTTCTGTTAAAAAAAAAAGGTTATTGCCATGCCATGCCACTGCATATACACACACACACATATATATGATGATATAACATGACACTATCTCAATATTAGTTCTATTTTTGGTTTTGTAATTAATAAACAATGTCATCGGCATCTTAGAATTTGTCATTACATGGATATGTATAGCAGCAGTGAGGCTTGCTGACGTGGAAGATTTTTTTTTTTTGGTAACATTGCTAAGACCATGTCGACAAACTATAATTGAGAGAGAGAGAGAGAGAAGCCAAAGCTATGTAGTGTAAACCCTATTTGATATTCTTGAGATTATAAAGTACGGAATATTAAAATGTTAATTTTAAAAAATTCTAATGTAAAAACGCGATGTTTTTTCCCAGTTTTTCTTTGAAATTAGCAGCTTGCTCAATATAAAGAAATTATGTTATTGGGCCCAAAAAAGGTCCAAATGATCAAAATTCGTGTAATAGTCTTTAAAACAATTATTATGTTATTGGGCCCGTCTTTCGTCCGACAGAAACCCGGCAGCTTCAAAGACTCTGAATGGTAAATTCATATTAGCCATCAGTTATCAACTATAACAAGATTATCAATCGAAAACTATATTAAAATCGTGAAATTAATATCAATCTTCTGCATAACGCAAAACAATTGTTTTAAAAAAAAACTTCATCTATTTCATCTACCCTCCACTTGCCATATAAGTTTATTATTTCATTTTTAATATAGATTTCACTCAAAAATTCAAAATCTACGCGCATTGCGCGGGAACACATTTTCTACAAGATGAAAAGAAATTCTCAATTTATCGAAATTACTAAGAAAATATATTTAACTGTATTTATGAAAAATATTTAGGGTTCAAATCATACATCGCATTAAATCTACACACAACTTAATTCTAAGATCTATGGTTTACAGAATATATTTTCTGGGTAGGTCAGATTAGTGGAGAGAGACCAATCACGTTGGTTCATCGATCAGCCATTTCTGTCTCTAGCTAAATAATGTCAATTAATTTTCTGATCAATCAGATCGTGGTAAAGTTGGGGATCAGATTCCATATACCTAAATGTGTGTGCGTTTATATATATATACATATAATTATCATCACATATATATATATATATATATATATATATATATATATATATTACTGGTTGAAAACAACTTTGAGAACAAAATTAAAGTACTCAATCTTAGTACATCAATAATTCAAGTAATAGCCAGAAAAACCATAAAAAATTTGTTTACAATGAATGAAAAGAATCTTCTGAACAAGAATCATCGAAATAACAAATATTAACTTTGCAATTTAAACAATAATCAAGTCAACGAAATTACCTTTGCAAGTAACTCCTTGGCGATTTCTCACAAGGATCTAACCCTAGACGAAGCTCGAGGTCTAATACTTCTTCACTTTGTGATGAACATGAACCCCCGTGCCCTATTCTCACATTCTTCTCGTCTTCATCTTCCACGAACCTTTTGCTTTTTCCTAATTCTTTCGCTTGATCGGTTGTAACGTTCTTTATATCAACAAAAAAGGGTATTTCCATGAATTCCGATCCATCTCGATCATTTCTCAGATCGTTATAAATAATATCTTCTCGGTAGGGTTGTGACAAAGTTATGAAACTTTCATACGCTAGATGAATATCATTTGTATCGATGTCGATGTTCCTCAAAGGAATAGAAGATCGGTTTGCTTGTCGGAGTTTCGCCCTATCTCTTCGGTGGATGTTCATATGCCCTCCTAAAGCTTGTGCGTTGGAGAAACCTCTCCTACAAAAATCACATATGTATGATCTAGATTGGTCGGACCATGAATATGTGCGACGGTCTAAGTACTTTCTATCCATTTGTGAATGAACGTCGAGAAAAGCAAATATTAATCGAATGTGAATGGATGCATTAAATTTATAGAGCATGATTTAGTTCAAAATACAAGTTATGTATATGTATAATGTGATTGAATTTGAATTATCTAATTAAGTACAAGTCAAAGACGACTTTTTTGCTTCTTGATAAAATATTCCAAACAACCGACTAATGCCGACAAAGATATAGTAAGAAAGATGAGGGGTTTAATGCTACAATGTCAATCGAACAATATAAAATAACCCTTATCCATCTTTAGAATGCTTTGCATGTTCATTTAAATATATTATATGAGTTATAACCCTAATTACAACATTTACATTATTATCTGTAATAGAAATAATCATTATCTATGCTTATAATGGTTTATATGTTCATGAACATATATTATATAGTTCATAACCCTAATTACAACATTTACTACACTACTTTTGATAGAAATAACTCTTAAATATATCTGTCTTTACATGTTCGTGTAAATATATCATGTAGATCATAACCCTGATTACAATATTACTAATATTTTCCTTATTAGAAATAATCCTTATATATGTTTATAATGCTTCACATGTTCGTGTAATATAATATATATATAGTTCATAACCCTATGTTTTAAATTGTTTTGCATGTTCGTGTAAATATATTATATAGCTGATGAACCCTAATTATATCATTTGCAAAATATTACGGAAGAACCTTATCTATGTCTAGAATGCTTTCAAATGAAGGATTTTATAATTTTTTTTTGTTAATATCGAAGATATCCAACCAAGCCTTCAATTAGATTATAATCAAACTTCATCAGTTATATGTAAGCAAGATGTAAATCTAATAAGTAAAATGGGAAATATTCATCCCAATTAATTAGCTAGTTAGAACATCATAACAAAAGATATATAAACGTGTATGTATGTATGTATATATGTATGTATGTATGTCAGATGATAAATACAAGAAATTTAGTCTAACATAGATTTTTTAATGATTTTTTTTTGCAAAATGAAAATAATATATACCAATTCAATAGATAAGATGGAATAAAAAAGAAAAACAGAATATGAATTTACCGTATTGAAATATGGAGAAAAGTTTCTATTTGTGTTGTTATATTAAAAAATAGATTTAGAAAATAAAATAACAAAAAAATTATTTTTATTTGGAATTGTTGGAGGGCAAAGTAGACGAAGAACAATAAGTCGTTTCATGACATCATGTCATTACGTGGCATACTCTGATTTATTTTAGGTACTTTTTTTTTCTCGTTGTTTTGGAGCTGAAAATTTCATTTCTTTTCCCTTTTTTGTGCAATATAATAAAACAGTTATTTATTTTTATTTTTTTATTTATAAGGTGCGAATGTCTACCTCCGATGTGGTGGGTTTGACCAGAAACTCTAGCTGTGAAGAAAGTGACTTTGTCCTGATCCTTGCGATTTAGCACCTAGCAAATATAATAGTGACAATTTAACTTATTATTAATTAGCCAATTTGGTCCCTAATCACACTATACATATATATATATATATATATTAAATTGGAGATTTAATTGGAACAAATGCCTAATCACATTCAGCAGTGGGATATCATCGTTGCCCAACAACCGGATAAAGATTAATTAAAAATGGAAAATTCTATCTATCATACGTAATCAATTGATTATGCGAACCATTTTGCTACACTTTCTTTCTTTTTTTTAAATTTTTTATTTTCGCCAAACGTCATCCTCTAACAAATGTATTGAAAAATAGCATTTTTTTTCCGTGATAATGCAAATACATCTAGATGTATATTTATTTATAAATATGTTATCTATGTATATATGTGTATGATAATTCCACTGATTATTCTAAAATTTTAATTCAGATGTATATTTCCTATGTCAACTAATTGAATAAACAATCTGTGCGGATATTGTTTATATGTCAACCATTTACACGCAAAGCTTTAATTTCAAGAGAAAATCAACCAATGAAGAGATTTTATTTTATTTTTTTTTTTGTAATTTTGATCGAACAATTGCAAAATCTGAATGCTTAAATAGTTTCAAAATCAAGAAATGGTATGTATATATAGCTTTAATTTGAAATTTAATTCTATTAAATATTATCCAAAGTAAGCAGCCCGAAACTGTTGGACCGACCATAGTTTTTTTTTTCCGGTTTGGATGTTCCTTTCAACCTCTGCGAGCAGCGAATTTCACGTTCCAAGGGTTGCTTCTCGTCTTCACCCTCATAAATATTAGATAAATCTCGCTTACGTGGCATAACTTGTAGAATCAGCAACCAATAACTTACGGCCACGTGTCAAACATTCTCTCTTCCTTCTCCTATAAAACCCACCGTGTCTGTGCTTTGGGTTCCGTAACAATGGAGGGTCTGATTCCGTTTGTGTACAGAGCCGTCATGCAATTCCGTTACGGCGACGAAACGCCGTTTTCTTCTTACTACGTAAGGCTTCCGGGCGATTCGGGTCGGTTCGGGCGACCCGGGTTCCAGGTTTCGGATCTTGGATCTTCTTCTTCTTCTTCTTGCAACACGACGTCGTCTGGGTTCTCTTCCTTTGTCGCCTCCGATGCGATGACTAATATTGTCGTTTCGACGGGGAGTCCGTTAACCGGTCTATCATCGAGCGGTCGCCACGTGATTCACACGCGCTCTTGAAGATGCGCGTGACTTTGTAATTAGGAGCAAAACGCTGCGTATTGGGTTTTGAGTTTGGGCCTGAATTGGGCCTGAAAAAAGGAATAATACTTGTTGTGAAAATTGGGTTTGGGAAAGAATTTCAAAGCATGAGGATAAACACCAAAATGGGCCTCATGCTTGTGTTTTCCATAAAATTGTGATTGTGTAAATATTGGTAATGATGTGATCGTGCTTATTGTGTCATGGGAGATTCAATTATTCTTTTTATGCAGATAAAAGTAAAATAAAACACCTTTCAACAACATAAAATTACATTAATAATCTAAAGTTACATTAACAATTAAATAAATATATAGTTGAGGCTTTTTTGGTTTTGTCTTGTCTTTTTTCTTCATTCAAAGTTTCCACTATTTAATAACCAAATTAATCACGAACAAAAGTTTGTCAATGGAAAAAAAATAAAAAGACAAAAAGGACAGCGATTTCTCAACCAAAAGCGATGACTATACCAGAAATAAAAAAACCATTCCATGTATTTTTATATAATCTATTAATTACAAAAAAACGATAATAATGTTAGATACGCAAATAATAGCAAAAGCTCTCCGTCATGCTTGTCACGTGCCGATGTCGATCAGTCTTTTGTGTGCGATGAATAGTGTTTTTACACGTGTCACCTCATGCACATGCGCTGATAAAAAGCCGAGCCGCGCCTCGAAATAGTATAAAATAAAATAAATTTAATAAAAGTTCGAAATATAAATAAATCATCTTATGAGAAGAAAATGTGGGAAAAACAATTTATAATTTTACCACTTGCGATTGCCCGAGAAAATAACAAGGGAAGTCTTTCACGAAGTCCAAACAATTATGTTAGAGATTATATCGATTTATATGTTTATTTTACTTTAATAATTTATTAATAAAATCAAGAACAATGATATTACAATAGATCCAGTTTTTGAAACTTTCATTCTTTTTATTATATTCTTAAAATCATTATTTATGTTCTTTTTAAAAATTGAAGTTGAAGTTGAACTAAAAACTTATTGATTTGAAGTTTAATTCAATTAAACCGTACAATCACAATCGAATCGATAATGTCCTACGTCAAATATTAAGAGAAACAATTACTCGAAGTGAAGTAAACATATTGTACATGAGGACCTATTACCGTATCATAGAAACGCATGTTTTACCCACCAATCTCAAACATATTTTAGATGGTACATATATTATATATATATATATATATATTGAGATTTCAAAATCATCTAACAATATCGAAATTTTTGTATAATCATCCTAAATAATTTGTTATCACATGATTTCATTAGTTCATTGTTCAAGGGGGAGAATACGGGTGTTCTAATATGTCTCACGTGTTTCTAGCGACAACTAAGTTGACTCTAATTAATTTCCTAAAACTTAATTATATGTACGCATGCCAAGCAATAAGAAATTACTCTCTCTCTCTCTCTTCCACGTAATTTGGAGACAAGGACAAGTTGTAAGATTCTAGAGATCTATGAGAGATATAGTCAACCCTGATTGCTGTATTCTTTATATCATGGGATACTTAAGATACTTTCAGATGTTAAATGTTTATATATCGTGGTAGTAGCTTCATTTCTTGGATAAATCCTTGACGTAAAAAGGTTTCTTACATGCAATGTAACAAGATTTGAGGATAAGGAAGGATTTTTTTTTTGGGTGCAAGCCACATTAAAAGGATTCTCAATAAGCAGTGGGCAACTTGATTCGAGTCGATTATAAAGAAAAACAAAATTTGAGGAAAAGGAAGGAACATGAACCTGGGATCCATCGCCACGTCCAAGGAGGTTTTTGGCCTGCAATTCAACTGATGGACTTAGTATATACATACACATCTACGCATGTGTGTTTACAATATAATATTATTACCAATCACATGTCTACTACAGCTCTGAATACGTTGAGAACCACAAATTTTTATGAATATTTTGTCAGTACGAGATTCAAACACTGCTTTTCACGTACCATGATGCATATCAACAATTAAAAAAAAAAAATCCAAACCAAGCTCACCTGATCTCATTAGCTGTCCTTATTACTTCCAAAAGCCTCATGAGTAACGCGAATCCAGTAAAAATGGAGCTTCAAAGGATCTCTTTCCTGTGTGTTACCTCCGCTCTTATACTTCTCTTCCCCTCCTCTGAATCAAACGCTTTCAAGCAATGCCCGGCATGCGGGTCGGCCCGGGTTCCATACCCGTTTAGCACGGGACCCGGTTGTGGAGACCCGAATTACAAAATCAGGTGCAGTGGCAGCACACTATGGTTCGATACACTCAACGGCTCGAGCAATCCGATCAAATCATTCGACCCGGCGGCACAACGGCTCATTCTACAACCACCCGGCTTTAAACCCAATACCTGCATGGCCGCCGATATGCAGAACCATGGTATCCAGCTTGACCCGAATCTTCCTTTCAATGTCAGTGACAGGAACACGGTTATAATCACAAACTGTACTAAAGACGGTCTGGATTCTTACATCTCCGTCGGGTTTTACTGCTCGGAGAGTAGCTTGTGCCACAAGTTTTTGGTCGAAAATCTGGAAGCTCGTGAAAACTGCAGGGACCGAAAGGTGAACTCGTGTTGCTGGTACAAGACAGGTGGGACTATCAACACATATAAACTGTACAGAGCAAGAGAAGATAAGTGTTCTGCTTACCAGAGCTACGTGGATTTGGATCTGAGTTTTGCCGGTGAGCAAGTGGGGTGACCCGGCTGTGGAGATCGAATGGAATCCACCAAGAGAACCACCCTGTAAGTTTTCCGGTGATTGCAAAGGCTTGGCGAACTCAGTTTGCACAGCTGATCCTGAAAATTTAGGTCAAAAGAGGTGCTTCTGCAAAAAAGGATTCCAATGGGACTCCGTCAATGGAGTTTGTAAAGGTTTGTGGAGATCCCTGACAACCCATTTCCATGACCTTGAACGTTGAGAGCTTCTGATTAGAATCTGACAAAAAGTTGCCATGGTTTGAGTAGTGGGCAGATGCTCTGAAGGAAAAAGGTGCAAGAAGTGGAGCAAAGTGCCAATGATAGGAGGTAGTACTACTTAATACGCATCATCTGATCATAGAAGAAATCAACAATGGGACACATGTATAAGCATAGGCCATCTAGATGTTTATGAGATGTTTACCTTGTTCTACAGGTTTGGTCGGAGGGATCGGGTCGATATTGATGGCCGGTTGGGTCGTCAAGCTCAGGATTGCAAGACAGAATCGTCGGATCGCTGGAAGCAGATCGTGGAAGAGCATATGCAAATTACAGGCGAAGATATTAGGAGCCCACAGTGGAGGATTTGATAGAATCTTTTCCGGCAAGGAAATCATCAAAGCGACCAACGATTTCGCCAATTCCAATCTCATCGGCTTCGGTGGCTTCGGGGAGGTGTTCAAGGGCGATTTAGATGACGGAACCACCATCGCCGTCAAACGAGCCAAGCTCGGGAACGAGAAGAGCGTATACCAGATAGTGAACGAAGTCCGCATTCTCTGCCAAGTTAGCCACAAGAATCTAGTGAAGCTATTGGGTTGCTGCGTGGAACTCGAAATGCCGATTCTGGTCTATGAATTCGTCCCTAATGGAACCCTATTCGACCACCTCCACGGTGTTTCCTCCGTCTCCTACGACCCTCTCCCATGGCTTCGCCGACTCCTAATCGCTCATCAGACAGCCCAAGCACTCGCATATCTCCACTCATCGGCGACACCGCCGATTTACCACAGAGACATCAAATCGAGCAATATCCTCCTCGATTCCAACCTAGATGCGAAGGTATCCGATTTTGGATTGTCCAGATTGGGGGTAAGTGATGTGAGCCATGTGACGACCTGTGCGCAGGGAACCCTAGGGTATCTAGATCCAGAGTATTACCTGAATTTCCAATTGACAGACAAGAGCGACGTGTACAGCTTTGGAGTGGTCCTGATCGAGCTTTTGACATCGAAGAAGGCGATCGATTTCAATCGGGAGGAAGAAGATGTGAACCTGGCGGTGTTCGTGAGGAAGGCGTTGAGGGAGGAGAGGTTGCCGGAGGTGATAGATCCGGTGATCGGGAAAAGAGCGACGGCGGAGGAGATGGAGAGTATGAGGGACTTAGGGTTTCTGGCGGAGAGGTGTTTGAAGGAGACGAGGCATGATCGACCCACGATGCAAGCCGTGGCCAAGGAGCTCGAGACTCTCATGCATGCAGTTGCTTGTGAGTTTTGAAAAAAAAAACAAATGTTTTGTCTAAGATTTATAAAAATACCCGAACTTTTATAAAAATTTTAAATAAATATCTAAATTATAAAATTATCATATAAATATCTGAATTTTTCACAATTCCCACATAAATACCCAAATTTTTAAATTTTTTCCAAATCAAATATTCATCCGTTAACGTCGTTAACCGAATCGTAACCCGAAATGACCGCTTCTACCCAATCTTGTTCTATCTTAGACTTTTTTTTTAAAAAATGTACATGGGTTCAATCCAAGTAAACATGGACAGAGGCTTTTGTTGAAACAGAAGGTTTATTATTAGTCGCCAATAAGCTACAAAAATTGCCAATCATTTCAGCTTAAAGGGAGGCTAAGGTCCAAAACGTGACATGAGAAGAAACAGCAATCTGAACCCACGCAACGAAAGAGAGGGTTACCGATCCCTTGTACCAAAGACACGAGATCCAATTTCCAGCTACGCATAACCTCAGATCTCTGTCGTAGGGGACTACAACTCCCGCCGATGAGCATGAAGCAGCTACACGTGGCACACGCCGCTCGATGTTGCGCGTGAAGACGAGCCGAAGGTCGTGGGGAGGGTGCAAGAAAGTGCGGAGGGTGGGGGGCACGTGGCACAATATTCGTGAACGTAGTAGTTACAGTCAACGCAACGGTAGGTCGTACCGAAGAAGCCGTACTTGTTGCAGCCATTGCGAGTGAATTCCCCCGTTCCGTTATACTCCGTTAACACGTGGGCATGTGTAAAATGGGAAATTATTCGAGATCCCGGAGTTGTCATCGGATCCATTGTTCGTTGTCGGATTAAGACCAAAAAAAACGAAAGATCTTTTTGAGTGTTTTATTTTTTGTTTTTTTTTTCTTGGATGAAAGTGTATTACGGGATGTTGCTATATATAGGAATATAGCGAGGTTGGACTTTGGACTGTTTCAACTGTTATTCAAAGCACGACGGTTTCTTTTTTTATAACCAAACGCACAATTGGCTATTTTTTTATTGCATTTAAAAAACTAATTTTTAATTAGGGACTTGTTCTTAGGGAATATATTCATATTGCAACATGTATGGTTTTTTTAAAAGTCCAATCAAATTCTAAGTCTAAAGAAACCCATCAATTTTTTTTTTCTGATACTATGTTAAAAAAGGTTGGCAAAAAAAAGAAAAAGAAATCCTTTGATGCATTTCTTTATATACGCTTAAAACTTAGAAAAAATATCCCTAAAAATTTCCAAACTTGTAATTTGGTATAATAATAATTCTCATACTTTGTGTTTTATTATTCCCAAATTTGAAAAACGTGGCTCAATAATTTCTAATATTATATATTGATGTTACAATAATCCTTAATCTAAATTGACTAAAATAATATTTATATACAAAAACTACAAATGTATGTATAATTGATCAATTCTAAATTAGATCACTAAATTTGACCTAATCAAAATAACTTATAAGACATACATGTCTAAAGTTGGATTTAGTGTGGAACCATATGATAATTGGAAATAATCCAACCCTTTTATATCACAACACTACAATCACCTAAATCCATCTTATATATATACACACATATACACACACACAGCTACAATGTTACAAAAACCAAAATGAAGAAATAAAAAAGACGAGAGAGAGATTAACAAAGAAGATCAAAGGCAGGCGTGGGTGGCATCACAGGCGACGCAACTGGCTTCGTCGTCGTGGTCGTAATGGTTCTTGTGGGGCTTTGTGCTGATACAACAACACACCAATCCCACCAACAATATGAATCCCCACACAAAAGCCAACGACTCCGCCAATTTCAAGTATTTCTCCATCAATGATCTCTATCATATATAGATATATATGTATATGTATATATAATCTCTCTCTTTCTTCCTCTCACTTGTTTTCAGCCCAAATTCTTCAGTACCCTTCTTTTGTTTTCTTATGGAAATACATTAGAACATGGTTTTGATTTCAGACCATATATATATATATATATATATATATGTACATATACATGTGGATGTAAGGGAGAAGAGAGAAGGGTCTAATATATAGCGTGAAAAGAGACATGCACGGAATCTAAATGCAAAACATGTTCGAGGAGTATAAATGATCTGTGTTAGGTTCTGTTTCTCTTTAATTTAATTCGATTTTGTCGATCGCGTGTTTGAGTGTTTTGAATGATCTGTGTGCATGTGAGTTTATTATATTCTTCTTCGCTTTTATAGCACTCGTTGGGCCACATGGTTTTCTATTTATATATATTAGATTTCATTTCCATTCAAATATATAAAACCTAATCGAATTATATATATAATTTTAAATCTCGTATAAAAAATTTGTTTGGTAATGATTTCTTAAGACCAAATTATGAATCCGAATTCAAAGAAAAAATGATAAACCAAAACTAAAATGAATATTTTTTTTCCATATATCTACTAAACCAACTTTTTGTGAATATGATTCGTATAAAATTCCTATATTTTCATTACATATGAAAAATAAGAAAGAATATAAACATCTTGATAAATAAACAAACAAATGATGAGGATATAAAAGTTTATAACCGAAGGAAACGTGAACATGAAGAGGCATAACAACAGATTCACGAAATAAACTATTAATAAGGTTATTGATATAGTGTTAATTAACAACGTTTTATATTTTACAAACGGAATTATTAAGTCTTACATACGTGAACAATAATAATAATGATGATGATGATGATGATGATTAATGACGAAGGTATAGCATGATCGGACGCAATTAACTGTCAATAAACAGCTAATCATATGCCCTTTATGTAACCCTATTTGATATGAAACCACTTGTATGTGTGTGTGTGTGTGTATATTGGTCTTATGTTATCAAGGGATTTCATAATTGTACTGTTCATGTCTACACTTTAATGGTGAAAATTTTCTAATATTATCATGTTTTTTTAATAAATAATATTATCATGTTAAGATAGATGACATTGAATAATTATGTCCTTTTTTTATCTATATTTTGGTTAATTTATAGTATGATATTTTTGTATCTTATATTAGACATTTATGTGTCCAACTAATAAAATCTTACATGATGACCCATTCAATAATAGCAATAAAAAAAGGCTATATATATATATTATTATATTTCACGTGCAGTGCCAAAAATGATGAAATGCAATGGCACCCAGCAGCAGTCCATGCGACTTTTATTATCTGTGGCATGAAAATCATTTGTAATCACGTTTTTTTTAGAACGGTTTGTTCGTGCAATTTCTGCTTGTGATTATTATACATTCATTATTGTTTTACCCTCAATTAGCACTAATCACGAAATTGACATTGTATTTTATGAGGATAATTTTAAACAAGAAAGGGGATTTTTATTGATACTGTTAATATTGTCTCAACACTGAAATTATTAGCATTCGAGTTATTTATTCTGACCATAATAATGTAATATTCGATGCTTTTTCCAAACGAGAAAATGGGTGTCTCTGTCTCGGACTTGACACCTTTTGTATAAAAAAAAAGTTATGGGATTCTAAAAATATGAGTGATAATCTTAATAATTTTACAAAAAAAAAATGGTCAGCCCTTTTTGATTTTCAAATTTTTACGAAATTAACATCAAAGTAATAATAACAACATTAAACTATACTAAATTCTTATTGAAACTTTTAAATTGTAGGTATTCAACCGTATCGTCATTACTTTTCATAAATATTTTTAATTGTTTAATGTTTTTATTTTTTGATAGTATTATGTTAACATTTTGAAAATTTTAATATTTATAAAAAAATGTATTTATCATTAATATTTTACAATTTGATATGGTTGTATGAAATTTTCTCCGCATGTGAACTTTAGAATCCATAAGAAAAAATTATATTCAAGGAGAATGGAGGAACCAAACATTTTTATGTGTATTGCATGTGTAGTGTGAAAAAGCATAAAAAAATGAGGAATTTAACAAAGAATAAAGTGACGAGAACATGGAAAATAAGATGAATACCACTGACACACCAAAGGATGAAACTTTCCAAATATTTTATCATTTAATGAATGATATATCAAAGTCTAACAAGGATTGAAAAATAAGATGAATACCACTAGTGCCAAGGGTGGTTGGCTCAACTGGTAAGTGGGTATGTGCAAAGAGTGCTTCATCCAGATTCGAATTCCACAATTGGCAAATCACATATTATCAAAAAAAGATGAATACCACTATGACTTTTTCTAGTAATTTTTAGGAATTATATTACTAATAGAATTAGAAAATTCCGTTATTTATTTAAAATATTTTTGTTATCAATAATAAAAACAAAAACAATAGTTTTTACACTTTAACAACGGACAATTAGGATTGAGAGTGCGTTAAAAGAGGAGATAAACAATGATGAAGGGAATAACATTTCACTTGTTTTTAAACAAAAAAAAAACATTTCACTTGTTTATAAAAAAAAAATACATTTCACTTGAGGCGCGTGTACCACTCGGAGTTGGTGCGAACAGAATCCAATGGACCATTAGGAAGAGTCCACGTGTCAAAAAATAAAAATGTCTGAGCCCGGGTTCGAACCGGGGACCTCTAGTGTGTGAGACTAGCGTGATAACCAACTACACCACCCAGACATGGTTGGCTTTGGAAGAAATAAATCAATCAAATATTTAGTCATAAGAGGCTTTTTCTACTTAAAAATCAACAAGTATATATATGGAAAAATAAATTTAAAACACCCATTCTATGGACTAACAAATATCCATGTCACATTATTTTTTATGATAATGAAAAATTAATAAATATCTTAAAAACATTATTTTTTAATCAAATTCTATGGACTATATATGGCACTTAACTAATATGCTAGGTCCATTCTTCATATTATTGTTGATGAATCTGTCATATTCTATATATCAATAAAATTATTTTTTATTCTTTAAATGAATTAATATAAAAAAATAAAATAATGATATAAATCTCGTATGTATTCAATAAAATCAAGCTTTGAACCGGACATCTAAAGGAGAAAAAAAAACATCAAGAACTGAAGGAACAGAACATGTCTACGCTAGCTCTTTCCAGCGTCCAAATAAGCGATATACACACACACACACACACATATATATATATATATATATATATATATGAATATATTATAACACAGAACAATTTGATTAGCACCATCACAATGAAAGAGAATGTTACAACATCCATCACCAGCTAAACATATCCCTCAGTTCTTCCACAGGTTAAAACCCCCAAAGAATATTTTTTTTTTTTGGCTGTACAAAACAAATAAGATTCTCTCTACAAAAAAAAAAAGAACACCAGAAAATGAACACAAAAAGAACAACAGATAAGGGAGAAAGGGTTTTAGCTGATTAGGGTTTTGTTCATCGTTACGGACGATCTTTGGGAATTTAGATGTTTCAATCTGCTACTGAGGATATCGATATAAGTTCTTAGCCGATACCTGACTGAGTTTGTGAGAGACAACGGAGGATTCATGATGAGGGAAGGTGCTTCTACTAAGAGGAATACCAGCAAATGCACTGCTTTTGTGTACAAGTTGCGTGCATTCTCCTTCTCTCCCATCAGCTCATCCACCTTCCGAAATCGAAAAAAAAAGGAAAAAAAATTGCATAAGAATTCCTAGTCTCGGGTCTCGATTCCCGAAAGAGAGTGTTTTAATAACCAGCGATGAACTCATAATTTCGAGGGAAGTGAGGTATCGATCTAGTATTAGTCTTTGCCTGGATATCTAAATCCGGTTATGGTACTATTTCCAGACTGTTGCTATGGAATCGTATGAAATACCGAAAAGGGTATTCGATTTTGAGTTTCTCTTTTTAAGTGTGTTCATCATTCTGTGGGGAGAATAAAGGAGATTGGTAGAGTAGGCACTTACTCCCCCAAGCTTGCCAAGAGCGAGGGCTGCTTGAAATATCGTTTCCATTGCATCGGGCATGTTTGTGTTTCCTACAATTATATGAGGACGAGAATCACACCTTAAGGTATAGAGTAAAACAAGTGAAAAACATTGAGATTTTTAGGTAGATTTGAAAGAGGTGATCATTACCAGATTCGACAAACTTGGCAAGTTCTTCAGCACGCTCAACCTCCCGGATGAATTCTTTCTGAATCTGAGAGGATAGCTCCTCTGGCCCTTCATTGCTGATATGGGTGCTTTCTTCTGGATTCTGGATACCGGGTTTGAGGCCGGTATTCCTTCTTAGTCTGTTAGTGTCATGGCTCAGACTTCCTTCCACACCCGAGATCGCCTGAGTATGACAGATGTGCAGAGCTTGCTTCCAGATTGCAAGAATCACCAGTTGGATTGAGAAAGCCTCTAGTTGTTTCCCAGATTCAATCTATTCAAAGAAGCACGAAAGGAAATTATTCAGAGACCCACCTGTAAGGGCAACAACTCAATGAAACGTTTTATATATGCATTTTTTGTATGAAAGTGTGTGAATTTGGTTACCCTTTCATGAACTAACTCTGCAATGGTGGCTGCACATTTCTGCAAAGACCTGATTCTTGTAAGGCTGTGGGTTGATGGCTGTTCAAAAGCATCCCCTATATCCAGAGACCCATGAGAAGTTCCTGGTGCAGAACTATGAGACTCAAGGCTTCCGACCCGACCAATGTTGCTATTGCGAGTTGCTCCAAGTATTGGCATTGGAGCCGTCGAACTTACATTTTTGTTACTGAACTCTACTACAGGAGGAGACTCTGATTTGAACGGGAAGTTGAATGGCTTTGAGGTACTTGATGAAGAAGATGGCAAATCCACCGGTGGTCCCGATACCATAACATAATCTTGATCCATTAAGTCTGGTGAATCTCCACCTGCAGCATTCACCAACGTGATAGAAATTAAACCGGGTGTTTTTTTTTTTAAATTTTGCAATAGCACATCAGGGTATTAGAAATCTGATTACCTCGTCCTTGAGCAATCAATGATCTAGAGTCTGTCAATCTTGAAGATTCGTTCCGGTTTCTGTCTGATAATCTGTGACTTTCAAACCTAAATCTAGGGTTTTCCGCTCTTTGGGCGGATCTACTGCTGTATCTAGAAGTAAGATCTGTATTTTTCAATGGGCTAGATGCTGCTTCCCTTCTCTCACCTTTGGTGTCAACATTAAATCCGTAGGATGATTTCATCGAGGACGTTCTTTTAAAATATGAAGGGCTTCCCTCAGGTCCACTAGAATCGTCATCTAGAAAGAATGGCAAACTATCTTCCTGGGAACTTTCTTCCATGTTTCTGGAAGGACTGCTTCCAGATGAAAGAAAACCGTCCATTGTTCTTGAACCTAACCTACTACTCCTGCTTATATAGAGAAGTATTCATCAGTTCCAAATAGCTCAAAGTATTAACAAGTACCAGTATTTCACACCAAAACTGTTACATCTACCTTAAGAAATCATCAGGTTGCCCGTCTGAAAGAAAAGGGTGATTAAAGAACTCTTCAAATGTCAACCGTTCCACTGTCAAACAGAAGATTTCCAAAACAAAAATTATAGGTTAAAGTTATCCTATGTAAACACGCCAGAATTTAAAAATTCTCGGAGTTGCCAATTCATTGTCCTACTGCTCCAGTTCTCTTTCCCGAGCCATTTATATATGTTAATAGAATATCTGGCCTCTTCAGTGTTGTGCATAAGAAAAGTTTCTGCTAATTCTGCAAAAGGGGTAACTTAGACATGCTTACCCGGATTGCGACGCAACAATTTCTGACATAAATCTTTACAGTCAGCACTCAAATCGCCACAGTCTGCTGGGAAATGCAATTCAGTTGATCTTATAATGTTTTGGAGCAACTATGAAAAAAAGATGGAGGATATATGTTAGCCCAAGCTGATATATTATCCATTGGAACATCAATTCCTTACACATTGAAGACATTCGAAAAACTTAGGATACAAAACCTGAATTTGGCTGTTTCCTGTGAAGGGGGTTCTGCTTGTCACCAGCTGAAATAAAATAGCACCAACACTCCAGAGATCTGCCTGTGTATCAAGTCAGATTACAAGTTTGATATGCCAAAAGAAACATCAACTTCCTATCCTACCATGTAAAAAAAAGAAAGGTCTAACCTTTGCATCATACTTCTGAAGTTGCATAATTTCCGGGGCCATATAAAGCGGTGAACCACACAAAGTTTCTGCTAACCCCCTAGGTTGCAATGATCTGCACTAAGAAACGTGTTGATGTTCAGATGAAATTTTAAAAAAAAAAGCATAGCAAGAGACCACTAGAAACCAATTTCGATGCTTCATATTACGCTCTCTGATTCCGTAGAAAACAGCTTATGATATTACCTGGCAAACCCAAAATCAGCAATCTTCAGATCAGCGCCATCGTCATCTGTGGATAGAAGAAGATTCTGTTTCAAGAACGAAAGATTCTTAGCAATTGAACTTCTTTAGAACGAAAACTCTAACTCTGCAGGGGCACAAGTGCAGAGGCACAGCCCACAGAAACAGGAATAAAGTTTCTCTCTGCCATACAGATAACTCATCTAACACAACATTATATACCGATTGAATCCACAAACTTGGTGCAGGAAAGATAATTCATGCAAGAGAATCAGACATACCTGGGGCTTCAAATCTCGGTGAATAAGATTATTGTCACGAAGAACTTGTAAACCAGCAGCTGTTATACAGAATCACCCGAGAGTAAGAAAACGGTTTCTATCAATCAAAATGCAATGAAGATAACAGGTTGAAAATATCAAAGAACATACCCAACTGTTGCATGAAATGCTTTGCTGTTGCTTCAGGGACCTTTCCATGCCTCTGTATATACACAGAAAGATCACCACCTTTGCAATACTCCAACACCAGGTGTATTTTCCCCGGAGCCTATATGTCAAATCCACCAAAAAAATACAAAGACCATCATACCTGAAACCAAATCTACAATGTCCCTTGAAATCTAATATGCCCAATGTACCCATTTGTGAACGAATTACATTGCATGACCACCAGTTTTTCCAATTCTAAACTTTCTAATTTTCTGAGCAACCAAACACATTTGAGGATGTAATCCAGCAACAATAGCTTGAACCAAGCTGAAACTCACTCCATATCCCGAATTTTCTCATTCTAATACCAAAGAGAAGTAGAACTAGAGAGAAACCCAAAGAGGAAAAAAGCTTAAAATCAAAGAAGAGAAACCTCGACGATGGGCTGACGAAGAATCGCATTTGGAAGCTTAATTTTAGCAAAATATAAGCTTCAAGAAGCTAAAAAAACTCATCCCGCATCTTCAATTCTCAAGTCAACCAGAAAGAGGAAGTCGAGGAAGCCAGAAACGGAAAGCCCAGAAACAAAAAACAAAAAAAAAATGGAGCAAGGAACGAGGGAAACCTTGATCATGTCGTGCAAGCGGATGATGTTGGGATGATTAATCCGCTTCAAGATGAAAATCTCGGACATGAGACTATCCTGCAACTTCTTGTTCAACCGTCCCATGGCGATCTCCTTGATGGCGACTTCGGTGCCATGGACACGATGCCTCGCATGCCAAACAACCGAGAACGAACCCGACCCGATTTGCCGGCCCACCTCGTAGTCCCCGACAACCCGACCGCCCATCGCCGCCGCCGCCTGAGCCATTTCCTCCGGCCACAGGAAAAAACCACCAGAAATCAAGAAGATCCGGTCGGAGCTCCGAATTCAGCTGATACCAGATGTCGCCGCAGTAATTGAATCTTTTGGAATTTACGACCTCCCGAGTTGAAAAGGATTCAATTGGGCGTAATCAGATAGACGAGGGAAGAGAGAGAGAGAGAGAGAGAGAGAGAGAGAGAGAGGCGTTATATAATTAAAGCCGAGTTTATTCGGGAATCTACATGTAATTGCGTTTGTAAGATAAGATTGAGAAATTGAAATATTAAACTTATAATGATTAACTTAAATAATAACTGATAATTAAATAATTCATTTAATTAAAAAATTAGAGATTAGTGGGAAAGGTGATGGGGATGATTATTTGAGATTTTGATTTGCTTATGTTAGCAAGGAGATCGAGGTCGTAATGATAGGGTGTGGGATGTCCTACGGTGTACCCTTTGTTGATGGACAATCTTACCTTATGGAATATACTGTATATATTTTTTTATAAATAAAAACGAATGGAAGACAATATTTAATTTTTATTTTAATGCTTGACCAGTGACCACATGAACATTTTTGTTCGCTTTACTATTTTTTTTTTAAATCAAAGATTACGTGACCGTTCAAATATACTTGGTTTGATTTACGTAAATACCGTGAGATATTGGCCTACTTTATTATATGTAAGGGAAAAATCATTGTTTGCATTTTCCATGTGCTAATTAAAAGTTTTGTAACGTCCATACATTATAATAATACGTAGGGACTGTAACGATAACCATAGACAGATTATATTAATAATAAGATTTTTTTTTATAATATGTGATTTGTCAAGGATGGGTTCGAACCTGGGTGGAGCACTCTTTGCTAAATGATATTAGTACAATAGTTAAATAATATTAATTAATAGGTGAATGGTATTATTGCATATCATATGCACAAATCGTCTACAAATAATCAATGTTACCCTTTGAGAGAATATAATTTTCAGCCAATACACCGTGCAAACCTAGAATACGTAATAGTTACAGCTAGATATTATATAGTTGTATAAATATAAATTTGACTGAGAGAAAATTATAAACGTACTAAATATTAACGTTACTGTAATTTAATGTGTTTAGATATATTTATGAAAGAAATGGGAAGAGACCATTATACGTGGCAACGATTTTCATCTCGGCCGCCACGTGTACGCTACAGCTGTCATTTTCTCTCTCACTAGAACCACCGTTGGATTCAACTATCTACATCCAACGGTGGTAACCATTTCTTTTTTCATTCCCCGTACGAGATATATATATATATATATATCACTCCTCGCAAGAACTCGCTTCTTGATTCGTTCTGGCGATTTTGAATTTTCTTCTCCTTCATCGGCATCTCTCTCTACTTGTTGAAAATCTGAAACGAGAACTCCTTGGATTCTTCCTCCTACTGTTTTAGTCTCTTCCGGTATGGTTTTGTGTTCGCCCATTGATGGTTCTTTCGGTTTACCGGTAGAAAAATCATCGCAAGAAATCACTCGACTTGTTCTTGGGTCTTTCTGACGATTTTGAGTTTTTCTTTTTCATCACCGATAAACGAGAATCGCTTCGGTTCTTCCTCGTATTTTTTTAATCTCTTCCGA